CATATATTAGTGAGTCGAAACAATCTAGATACCAGGCATCAAGTCTGGCGGGACCAGTAATTGTATTAGTAGTAGTAGAGTCAACAATGCACGGTGTCATTAGTCGATATTAACACATATTAGCAATGACATACTTTATCAAATTACGACATAGATATAACTAGTCCAATCTCGCTACGCATCAAAAATTACAACTAGATTGAAATATAAAGTGTCACAATAATGAAATATACAAGAACAATAGAGTTAAAATAGAGATGGGAATATAATAAAGATTATAAAATAATTTGTTTTATTAAAACTATGAGATAAATGAGATAACGATTGAAAAATAAATCATAAAATCAACTGTATGCGAAACACAGGAAGGATAGAAAATGGAGTAAGATAAACGTATAAAAAAAAATCAGTAGTAGCGTGATGTTACATTGTATGTATACAAATCAGCAAGCAAAAGATCGGTCAGATACAGAAAAGTGAAGAGAAAAGTAAGTGATATTAAAGGTAAAATCTAATATGGTACAATATGTTTATTTAAAAAAATTGCATACGTTGCAAAGGCTCTCATAATAAGGGGAGTGCCTTACCACATACTATAAGTAATCAAGAGGTCATCAGAACTAGAAAAAAGCGCTATATTCCCAGAAGTGAGGGAATACATTAAAAAGCATATCAACAGGACGAGAAAACAATCAGTTCATAAATGATCTAGTTATTGAGTTATTCTGAATAGAGAAAAGATATAGCTTATTATTAGAAGGTACATAGAAACTATGCCTGCGCTTTCAGAAACTCAAGCACCAACCTCGGAGACATAGTGGTCGGATCGCACGTTAACAATATAAAACATATAGTTTTAGTTAATATGTTGTATAGTGCGCTTGCGGGGTCTAATATTTACGGATAAGACAGAATTAGATATACACACCCAACCAAAGGAATAAGACACTAAGAAGAAAGAAACCACAGCCAAAAAAGAGTCCCCCCCCCCCCCCCCGAAAAAAAAANNAAATTTTTTTTTTTTTTTTTTTTCCCCAAAAAAAAAAATTTTTTTTTTTTTCCCGGGGGGGGGGTTTTTGGGAGAAAAAAAAAAAAAAATTTTTTTTTTTTTAAAAAAAAAAAAAATCCCCCCCCCCCCCCCCCCCCCCCCCCGGAAAAAAACGGGCCCCAGGCCCCCCCTTAAAAACCCCCCCCCCTTTTTGGCCGGCCACCCGGGGGGGTTTTTTATTTTTAAAAATTTTTTTCGGGGGCCCCCCCCCCCCGGGGGAAAAAAAATTTTCCCGGGGTTTTTTTTTTTTTCCAAGCCAAAAAAAGGGGGACCCCTTTTTTTTTCCCCCGGGTTAAAGGGGCACTTTTTGGGCCCCAAAAACGGGGCCGGTTTAAAAAAGGTTTTCCCCCCCCCCCCCCCCCCCCCCCCTTTGCCACCCTGTCGTGGCCCTGGCAGGGATTTCCAACGTTTGGTACGGAGGATGGAGCAGTCGAATGACATGGTTTGCACACTCCCGTACAAGTATGTATGGGCATCAGGCTGAAAAACGTGCCTTGGATCAGACTTCTGCTTTGCCCGTCAGAACCTCCTACGGTGAGGCTTTTTGATTGACAGGTGTAAAGTCTGGGCTAATTCTACCTGTACGAACGAAGGGGGGGTCCCCATAATACCGGCATATGCGCCAAGGGCTTCACATGTTATCAAGACAAGCATCGCCCACGGGATCCAACGACTCGACATCCATGAGCCAAAAGGAAAACCCTTGAAACGCAGAATTGTCGATCGCGACTCCGTATCTCCATTTTCTTATTTTTATGCTTCTCATGGAGTCTCAAAAGTTGAGTTGTCTCTTACATGGGAACAAAAAGGGCACCCATCGAAGCAACAACATGACAGCTGCATGATTACGACGCATTTTAGGTCAATTATGCCTCAGAAGAAGCTCCCGAAGAACGGTAGAGAGCTGACCAGGGTGGTGTTCTGGTAGTCCCGTATAGCCCTGGTCTAGCTACAGCATGCAATCATCGGATGCTTGATCCCGGTCATTGCTACCGTTGTACAAGCACATATTCAGCGGCAACCTGCAGCTTTTGCGCTCTTCCCTCGAAGCATACCGTATACCAACGGCAATTGCAAACCGGACAGCAAGTTACCTTATGTTTACGCCCTCATGATACCCCTACCTGTCACTGAGGAAAACTGAATCAGGTTGTCGTCGAGTCACTGACCGGCATGCATATACATACGTATCTTTATTACACATGCCCGCTGTTCCGGGAGTTCGACGATAAAAACCCGGACCTTCCGTTGGGCTGCATGGCAGAACCGGGACCCCGGCACTTCAAGCTCGGAGCTTTTAATGAGACTCGAACACGCGAAGGCGAATCGAAAAGAGAGAAGAGGAACCCAAGCAAACAAGAGCCCAACAAACTCATGACATGACTGGTGACAGTGACGCCAAGATGCGTCAGGCTTTTTTGCGCTGAGGCGTCAAGAGAGCATGGATGCAATACAACCAACTGAGACAATGTGGCTGGCCCTCTTGGCGGCAGAAGAGCCACGAAGGCAGAGCTTGCCAATCGCAACTTGCAATCAAGGATCTTGAGTCAGGATGTTTCCTTTTTTTCTTCCTTTCGTGCCTTTTTTTTTTTTTTCTTCTTGGCAAGTTTGACTCTCTCAACTGTTGCAAGATGTGTAACGAAAGACAGATCAACAAGAAATGCACTGCCTCCCTGCGTCGCCTACTCCATCTCATCGAAACACCATCAAACATGACCATTGAGAATCCGCAACTGAAATTCTAGCTGAAAAACCCTCCACCACTGATATTTTTAGTCCAATGCAGTGTCGCACGAGATCGATCGTCCACCCTCTACGGCATATGCTAATCTTCAACACCGGCACTTGCTCGAAACGCAGCCCGTCTCGAAACACCTCCGAGAGAGAGAAAACAAAAACCTACGATGCCTCCCGTTTCACCCAAAAATAGAAGGATAAAGGAAAAGTTCTATATAGATCTGATACGGAGCCACTCTTGGCAACTATAATTTCGATATGCCCGATCTGCATTAGCAATCTTCGGGCCTAGTGCGGTTCGCACTTCAAACGAGAAGAACTTATGCCTGGTTCATCATGTCTTCCCTTATTTTGCTTATCTCTTGGCGTCTATGCTCAGCCTCTCTCGAATTACGCATTCTGTTGTAATAATACTCCCCGTGGTTGATGCTGGTTCTCCCGTTGGTAGGGAGGTCGATCTGATATGTGACGATTAAAGACTTGGCTTTATTTTATGCCCTGGCTCGGTGGACGGTGGTGGTGGAGCGGGAGGGTCGTTTGATACCCAAGGGAGGCAAGGGAGAGACGTTGCAAGAGTTTGACATGAGTTTCGATCCGAGTCATCTCGCGATCTACAATAATCCACCCTGTCAGACTCTATTTCGGTGAGTTGCGTTACCAATCCCTCTATCTTACATCGCCATGTCCAGGTCTCGAACATCGCCATCTCAACAAACTCGTCTTATACACAATCTTCATCAAACAGACATCATACGCGAAAAACCCGCAACGCCAGTCATATTATCACATAACCATCATCATCATCACACACACACACACCCTAAGTACTCATCTCATACTTACTCCTCCCCCTCAACCTCTCCCCAAACGCCCTAAAGAACCACGGAATCGGCGCCATGACCAACGTCACAAACCCCAGCACGCTCGTCGCCCATCCCGCCCCCAGCGCCTCGTACATCCTCAGCGCAAACAGCGGGAACGCCGCCGAGAGCAAATACCGACTAAACATCATCGCCCCCGACGCCGACGCCCCGTACAGCGGCCCGTACGCGTCCAGCATGAAGAGGTTCGCCCCCGCGTACACCAGCAGCGAGGACAGCATGACGAGGCCCTGGAAGACGATGGGCACCATCCAGTGCACGCGGAAGTGCACCGTCCAGCCCACCACGAACAGGCATATCGGCAGCATGACGCTGCCTATCAGAGCAGACATGAGGCGGTTCTCCGAAGGCAGAGGCTCGTCCTCGTCGTCGTGGCTCATCTGCCACTCCGTCAGCCGCCGCTGGTAATACCGCAGATCAATCACAATCAGGGGCGCCGCCGCCGCTGCCGT